ATTTTCGTGTCGTGTCGTGTCTGTGTCGTTTGTCCCCCTGCCCCCCCCCTCTCCCCCCCCCCGCCCAGGCTTCCCAGGGAAGCCCCCCTGAGCCTCGGACACCTTTGTGCAAGAGCCAGGGCACGCGTGCCACTTGGCCCCCCCCCGCCCAGGCTTCCCAGGGAAGCCCCCCTGAGCCTCGGACACCTTTGTGCAAGAGCCAGGGCACGCGTGCCACTTGTTTTATACCGTTCTTCGCCCGCTGACTGCAGGCAGCCTGGCGACGAGAGCTGCCGGCTCCTCCCCGGACGGAGGGGGGCACCACGGTGACGAAGCAGACCCAAGGGGCCGAGCACAGGCTGGCAGCAGGGCAAGCCGAATGGGCGGTGCGGTTGCCTAGAACCGCCCGACAGGAGGGAGGAGGAGGAGGAGGAAGAGGAGGAGGAGGAGGAGGAGGAGGAGAACACCAAGGGAGAAACGGCGAGCCTGTATCGCAGTGAATGACCACGAACGGAAGCCGCCTGCTCGAGGGCGCGGGAAACTTCACATGCGTTCGATAATGCCTCGAGACTGGGACCTGTACAACCGGTCGGGGTTTGCTGCGCCGCCCTGTTGTCGCATGTGGACCGTCGCCGTGTAGCAACAGTAGACGAATATAGCGACTTGTTTGTGCGAGTCCCTCCATGCCCTCCCAAGAAGGAAATCGTTGACACGCCTGGCCCCTAAACTCTAATTGCTCGTGCCAGCGGGCTGCCTCCATCAGGACCGGGCAGCGCCAGTGGTTGCTATCGAATCGGATACCAACGTCCCCACGCAGCACAAGTACGGCGCCACCCGCTGGAACCGCCGGGCACAATTCCATCCATGAAAAAGACTGCGAAGGCATTCTGAAACCACAGCTGGTTGTACTTGCCCCTGAGGCGAGTAAGATTCTGGAACGCATGCTGGGCGGCAGCACCGAACAAAATTGGACCTATGTGGTCGCGCCACCGGCCGAGACGCCGATGGACAAGACTTTCAGCAGCTATGGCATGAAGGCTGGCGTGCACCTGGGAATGTACAGCGGCCCGGGAAGAATGCGTTCATAGGTCCCCCTGTACAGAAATGCGTCGGCCTATCAATGCATCACAGTCAGAGCTCAGCGCGACCACCGATAAGGAGTTCAACCGAGATTGCCATCGCCATATGATAGGAGCCTCGTCGCAGAGGACCGCGTCCTATAGTTTGGCAGAGATCTCAGACAGTCACACGCGTGTGTCGCGGGTCTACTCATCAATGCGCCCCACAGCGTCTGCACTTGACAGGGGCCTGTGTTCCCAGACCCCTGCCGACTCGACCGTTTCGCGACGTCGTGGGCTCCCGGAGGCTCTGGGAGCCACGAGAGCGGCCTGAGAAATCAGAAACCCTGATTCTCGATCCCTGCCCCCCCCCTCCTCTCAGGTGCGCGGCAATATGGATTGCAGATCCGTGGATCTGGCACGCGGGCGGGGGCGATGCCGGTAGAGCCTGAGTTGGCGACGGCGCGCATCCATATTGCATGGAAGCGGGACCCGTCTCTGATCCGCTCGCCCGAATCCCCGTGGCACTTCCGACTCCTCCCCCCTCGCTCAGGGGGGGGGTGGGGGGGGAAACATCGAGCTGGAGTCGGCGATGCCTCGTCGGCAGATCGCCGACAGGCCCCCGATGGCGAGCCCGCCATTCACTGGGAGGGGTGGGGCATCGGGCTCCCATCGGCGGCCACTGGGCGGTTGGAGGTCGATGCATCCCCCCATGAGCCTTGACCCCCCCCAACGTTGCCCCTGAGAACCTTGACCCACGAGCCCCGACCTCCCTCCCTCCCTCGCTCGCCCAGCACGACGCGAGGTGCCGAGGCGGTGGGAGGAGCCAGACGAGCTGCAGAAGCGTAAACTTTTGACGGTCCGCGCGGTTCCTGCGGGCAATGTCTTTATCCACATCCAGTGCGTCTTGGAGTTTCGGACACTCTTCCCAAGAAACATGAGGCGCACTGGTTATGGGTTATAATCTGCCTCCAAAAGGCTAAATAATTATCCATATCCAGTGCGCCTCGGCCTTGCGGCGCCCCTTCCAAGAAAGTCCAAGACGCACTGGATATGGACAGAAATATTGCCCGCAGTTCCGGTTCTGGGATCGGAGCTGGACCCCCTCCCTGGCGCCTGGGAGCGCGCCCCGCAGGGGGAGCCCCAACGCAGATCAACAAACATCCGCGCGGAACGCCAAGAGGTTGCCCGTCGGTCGGAAGAAGCGGGTAGAGGCACGAAGTAGGAAGGCGTTCGAGGTAGAGTGAGCGTCCGCCCGCCCCCTGAAGAGGAGGGACGAGGGAAGACCATTCGGTCCTTGAAGCAGGCAGGCGCCTGAAGTAGACTGGGACCCGAAAGTGCAGAAATACATACTCCGAGTTTCTTGATGAGCGTCGGAGGGGCCCCCGTCGCGGCGCGACGACGAGGCGAGGTTGACGCCCGTCGGGGGGTTTACCCCCTCGCGCTTATTGTCAGCCACGCGCAGAGGGGGATGGGAAGAGGGGGGAGGGCTTCTTAGAAGCGCCCCTGCTTCCTAGAAGGCGCGGGCCTCATCTGTAGATGTGTAAGGCCGGCGCCCTCTAAGAAAAAGCAGCCGCCCAAGAAGCCCTCACCCCTCCCTCCACCCCCTGGTGCGCGCCGCCCCTCAGACACCCAGAGCACTTCCTGCAAGTGCCCTGGAAACCCAAAGACAGCAGGCGGCATGCACGCCAGTCGCTGGAATCCGAACTGGACCGTCAAAATCCAGGACGCGCTCGTCAAAAAAACGTCGGCAAACCCGAGTTCCGGCTTACTCGGGTCTTGCGCTTCCCCGACTAAGAAACCCAGAGCACTTCCAGCGACTGGCGTGTGTGCCGCCTCCTGTCTTCCGCGCGGTGGCCTCCGCGGCCCCCGCCCCGGGCGCGGACGCCGCCGCCCCGCGCCGGCGGGCCCGCCGCCGTCGCTTGCCTCCGCCGGCCTGCCGCCGGCCTCCGGCCGGCCTCCCGCCGAGGACGAGCTGCCCCCGCAGGCGGGGCTCGCTCTGGAGCGCCCAACACAGGGACGGGGCCAGGGGCTCCAGCCGCGATATGTGTGTGTATATATATATATACATACAGTAGGGGCCCGACCACAAGAAACCTTCCACAGGAAACCCAACCCTGAGACCCCAGGACGTCCATTGGTTTTTGGTGTGGGAGCGTCACGCTTTCCACAGCAAAACCATTGAAACCCAAGAAACCCAGGGCACCCTGCAGGCAGGCAGGGCATTTCCTGACATGCGCCCCAACTGTATGTGTGCGTGTGTGTCTCACGGTGAGGCGAAAATTTCCTGGCGTATATTTTGAGGGGCCATCCACGTTGCCGAATTCTGCCCCGGACCCACCATCATTTTCGCCTTCGGCGCCCTGCGACGCACCACCTTCAGATCGGTACCCCTGCGATGAGCACTTCGTGCCATTGAGCATCGGCATCGGCACTGGCAGCCTCCAGCAGGGACTGGCGTCATCTCTCTCTCATCTGATTCATTCGCTGTTGCCGCCTTTATCTTCAGCATTTCCTTGAGCACCCTCTCCGCCGTCTGCCTGGTGTTCTCGTGCGGCTCCTGATCGCAGCACCATCCACTCTCTCTCTCTCTCTCTATCTCTCTCTCTCTCTCTCTCTCTCCTCTCTCTCGATCCCTCCCTCCCTCCATTCCCCTTCTCATCCCCAACCCCCTCCCCCTCCCAGTCCTCCCCAACAGTCCTCCCCGCTCCCCTCCCCCATCCACCACCAGTCTCCTCCATGGATCCCTCACTTCGCCCTGTGCCCCCCCCCCCTCCCTCCCTCCTCCTCCTCTCTCCTCCTCCTCCTCCTCCTCCCTCCTTCATCATCCCTCCCTCCTCCCAGTCCCTCCTCCCTCCTCCTCCTCCTCCTCCCTCCTCCCTCTCCTCCCCTCCTCCTCCTCCCTCCTCCCTTCCCTCCTCCTCCTCCCTCCTCCCTCCCTCCTCCCTCCTCCTCCCCTCCTCCCCCCTCCCTCCCCCTCCTCCTCCTCCCTCCTCCCTCCTCCTCCTCTCCTCCTCCTCCTCCTCCTCCCTCCTCCTCCTCCTCCTCCTCCTCCTCCTCCCCCTACAGGAACAAAACAATGACATTCACAGACGTTCTCGCTGGCCCTCGCGGATTTCCTGGGTCGGCGCTCACCCACCTCCCCGGCACGCGGAGAAAGAGCCAGGGGCGGCGCCGGAGGCGCTGCCAGGTGGCCCCAGCGCCGATCCAAGAAATCCGCGCGGACCTCCGACAAATGATGCTTACAGTAGGGGCCCGACCATAAGAGACCTTCGAAAAAACCCAACCCTGAGACCCCAGGAACTCCATCGATGTTTGGTGTGGGAGCGTCGCACTTTCCATGGCAGAGCCATCGAATCCCAAGAAGCCCTGGGCACCCTGGAGGCAAGCAGGGTGTTTCTTGGCATGGGCTTCTGCTCTTCGACTCCCCCTTCCACCTCCATCTCTCGGAGCTGCAGTGCTGGATTTTGCAGGACCTGGATCAGTGATGTCTACCGCGGGACGCCCCCCCCTCCCACCCCAGTCCCTGATATTTGTCGCGCCACCGTGCCGCTGGGCACGGAGATGGCGTGTTCTCAGGTCCTTTGCCTAATCCCATTAGCGCTCCTGAGGACTCTTTGAGGGGCTCGCTCACTCACTCACAAGCCATGCGACGTCCTGCGCGTGGGCAGAAAAACAAGGTCAAGCAATCACAGGCAGCAGAGGGTTAAACGCTGCGCCGGCTACATTGATCAAGAGGAGGAGGAGGAGGAGGAGGAGGAGGAGGAGGGGGAGGAGGAGGAGGAGGAGGAGGAGGAGGGAGGACACGAGGAGAGAGGGAGGAGGAGGAGGAGGAGGAGGAGGAGGAGGAGGAGGAGGAGGAGGAGGAGGAGGCGGAGGAAGCCACGGGCTGAGGGGGGCTGGGCCGTCGTCGCCCTCGTCGGTCGCCCCCTCGTGCTCGGGCTCGCGCGCCGCGGGCCATCGCTCGGCGCCGCGGCCGCGGCAGGCGCCCCGCCAGGACGCCTCGTGAAGGCGAACCATCCTGGCATCGGCGCCAGCGGCAGCAACGCGCTCAGGCGCGCACGCTGCTCCGAGTCCTCTCTGCCGCGAGGACCCTCGCGGAACACCACAGCGCCCAGCCCGTCGACAAGATGACGCAGGACTGGAAGCACCAGCGCGCCTGGGAGCAGGCGACTGGGAGCAGCCACACTTCTCGTGGTCATCCCGTCGGAGCTCAGCCATGGCCGTGGAGGTCGGGATCTCAGACGCGAAGACGCAGGACGTACGGGAAGAACGACGACCAGAGCTGGCAGCAGGACCGCGACGGCCACGACCAGTACGACGGCAACGCAAGCACCCGTCACAACAGCCACTGCCAGCAGCAAGACGCCAAGGACGAGCATGCTCACCACTTCACCCACCACGGCGAAGACACCCACAAGAAAGGTTCACGGGCTCGCTCCACACATCGCACAACGACACGGACGCAGAGCAGGAAGCACTACGGCGCGCACAACTTCTTCGACGGCTTCCAGTTCTCCAAGAAGCAGCGCGAGATCCTCGACCAGGTCCTCCCTGCCGACGACGTGCGCATGCAGTCCCACGAGAGCTTCTCCACGCCCCCGCTGGAGGAGGACATGCGCCGCCTTTGGGTGACAACCAAGCGCGGACGCATCGCTCGGTTGGCAGACCAAGCTCAGGGCGCACGCGCCGTCGGCGTCGACGATGCCAAGATCGTCGCAGAGCTGTCTGTCAACAAGGCAATGCTCCTCCTCACGTTGTCTCCCGACGAGCGGGTGCACTACTACCGCCGATGCATCGACACCACGGTCAGGCGAAAGAATGCGCTCAAGGACGACATCAGGAAGATGCAGACCGAGCTCGACAACACGGAGGGCAGCTTGAGGATACTACGGGCTCTACTACAGGAGTCGAAGTTTAAGAGGGACGACGCCACACCCGACCTCGAGTACGACGACTTCTACAGCGACAACGACGAGAGCGAGAAGGACCACCACAACAGGCGCAGGACTCGGACACAGACACCTCACCCACGACAGCGCGAAGATCATCGACCCCAGCAGTACGCAGCACCAGCAGCAGCACCACTTCGACAGCAGGACGACCCACACCAAAAAGGTCACAAAGAGCTGCTCGCGATGATCACGGACCTCTCCAAAAAGGTGGACCAGCAGCGACAACACACGGGACTCCATCAGCACCACCTAGCTCACCTCCACCAACAAGCTGATCTCCGACAATCCGAGCACCGCGAACAGTTGCAGGAGGAGTTTGCGCGCATGGAAGCACACACGTCTCAGAAGGCCTTCAACGAGCTTCATCTCGAACTACAGCACCACGAGCAACGACTCCAGCGCCGCTTCCAGGAGGAGATAGACGAGATCAACGTGCGCAACCGCCACCTAGAACATCAGCAAGCACAACGGTTCCTACGACAGTCCGAACAACGATGTCAGGAAGATGAAGCTGAACAGGCACATCGCATGAAGACCGAGCTCGAACAGCACCAACTACTTCACGACGCCGCACGCGGTCACCTTGCACGGCGGGAAGCAGTACAGCAACACGAACTACGGGAGGCTAAGCCATATTGGCTCCAGCATCTAATTCGTGAATCCGAGCACCGCCTTCAACAGGAGGAAGCTCAGTGCGCTCACAACCTCCTACTTCAGCACGAGATGAGAGGGCAGCAACAAGAAGACGCACTACGACTGGCTCAGCAACGACAGCTTCATGAAATCAACTGCAGGGCTCATGCGGAATCATCGGCACTCATGCAAGCCAAAGAGAAGATCCTCGAGGAGTACGGTGAACTGCGGGCGCAACAACACGAAGCAGCCACGATTCGCACCGAGCACCAGCACGAGCGAGCCCGACTCCAAGGCGAACGTGCCAACCTACACCTCACCGAGCAGCAGCTCCACGACAGGTACATCAACCACTTGGCGACGACCGAGGAGATGCGAATAAAGGAAAGGGAGGAAATGCAACGTGAGTTTCGACAAGCCGAGCTTCTTCATGACCCTCTTGATCTTGAACTGTTGCAAGAATTGAACACGAGATTCAGCGAGAGAGACGAGGAGGAGAACAGACAGCAGGCGTTAGCCGACTCAGAGGAGAAGCGCATCCACCGCGAGATCGAAGGCGCCCTCACCGCGATCATCCCAGGCCCCTACGAGCTGCCTCACCCACACGCCGACATCTACCTCGAGCAGCTACGACAGATGAGCTCTCCACCGAACGCAGCTCATTCCACGTCCAACTCAGACGCATGGAGCTTACGAGACCTCGGCTTTGCAGCCGCACCACCCACCTCACCACCCGCCCCGAACCCCGACCACACCCACGACAGAACGCCCACACACCCTCCAGCCAGTATCGCCCCACTCAGCGATGCCGACCACGACAAGCCCTCTGAAGCACACCACGGCGATACACAAGCATACCAATCGAGCTCTCCGAGATCTTCGTGCTCTCCCACGCCCATCGCCGACGACGGCTACCTCTCTCAGCACGACGACGGACAGTCTACGCCCATTCCTGACCTTCATCACGACTCCGACCTCGAAGGCACCGACACCCCCATCCCAGCTGCGCAGGCCACTCCCCCCACCCCACACATCATCTTCCCCGAAGTACGTGCCATGTCCGCCCCCCCCGACAAGAGATCGACACCCGATGACCAACAGCGATCCACGCCCCTTACCACAATTCTCATCGATCTCAGCGACGACGAGCACGAAGTACCCACCACGCCCAAGACTCGACCGATCACCAGCATCACCCCAACCCAAGCCTACAGCCCCATCATCCCTCCACCCAGATTCCATATGGGAACGCCCGACAGGGCCCAGTCAGCGCCACCCTCACGAACCCGATCGGCCCTCAAGAGACAGGACTCCACATCACGACCACCGCGGAAGGTCCGTATCCACGACAGCGGTGACGGCTTCGTGGACATATCCGACCGCGTCCCTCTCCGTGCCGATCCCGACGATGAAGGATCGGACACCGCGCTGCGTCCAAAAAACTAGATACGAACGACCCCGATGAGGGCGCTCTGGCTCATCGGACCCGTCGAAAAAGACCAGAGCAACAGGCCCCTGGTCGGCCTCAAGCGACCATACGTAATTATCGGCCCAGCGCCACACAGCATCACAATGTCACAGACGCAGCAACGAACCTTGCGACCCCTGCGGTGCAGGTAACTTGCAGCTTCAGACACGCACACCCACCCCGCCTTCCACTAGGGAAGCCTACGACGACTGACCTCGACAGGCTGACACCCGCTTTGGGGACTGCGGATCAGCACCGAGCGCCAGGCAACATAGACAGCCGACTCTGCCACCATCCCTCCGCGACAGCAGACTCCACTGGCTTGCAGACAGCAACCAACCTGACGACCCAGGGGGTGCAGGTGACTTGCACTTCTGACAGCCACCTTCCGACACACACCATCAGTCCACGCGCACTGACTCCTGCTTTGGGGATAGCAGATCAGACCCGACGGACAACGGCAGAAGTTTCACTTGCTTCACACTACCAGCACGACGCAACCGT